TGCTGAAAGGAGACATGGCAAAGAAAGAGGAGAGAGAACAGAGTTTCCAAATAAAGTCAAAGGGTTAAAAAGAACAGGATGTTGTGCCCAAGTCAGAGAGAGAGTGATTGAGGTGGAAAGAGGTACTCTGAAAGAGAGAGAAATAACTTGGAGGAATAAGATGAAAGCAAACAAGAGAAGAGGAGGCTAAGATCAGAGGGCCAGGGGCCAAAAGAAAGGCCCTTTTAGAGGATAGTGTGAAGCAAATAAAGCCAATCAGTCCCAGGCTGAAATTAGAAGAGACCATAGGCAAAAATGAACACTTTTTCAACATTCATCTGCCCAGTTTTCTGGGGCATATAGTATAAATTACAGCATTCTGGGAAATTATTCCTTAAAAATAAATCCAGCTATACTATTAGTCACTGGACACTTTGAATTCATCCTTTCTTCATGATATTTCTCCAGATCCCCATTCTGACCACCTGCATGTCCATCCACCTTCCATTGATTTCTGTGCCCTAGGGAAGATTCATATTTCTCCCAAATGACCAGAAGGGAAGCTGCCACCCAAACAGTCCTTGTCATACTTAAAGATCTAGAGGCCCCAAAAGAAAAATATGGCAGTCATAGCAAACCTCAAAGTAGTCCAAAATTCTATGAATTCCATGAGGGACATTTGCAGAGCTAAGGCATCATTAAAGCCTGTCTGTGTATACAGTACTGGTTTTAGCTGAGTCCTCTTAATTTCCTGGGTATACCCATTTTCTTTAGTGAAATTCTTCAGCTTTCTGACAGTTAATGCTCATGATGCTGTGATATGCGTATGGAAAGTATAATAGGAAGTGGAAAACAAGCTAGAATTAGCCAGGGTTATAGCCCCTTCCAATACAATTTTTTTTCTCCTTCTCCCTTTGATTCCTTCACCCAGAAACCAAAGAATATGAACATGAACAACAGGCCATTATGCAAAATCATTTGCATTAATTAAGAGGCAAAGTGGATAGGAAAGCAGCCTTGGAGTAAGGAAGATCCAGATATAAATCTTGTCTATAAATCTTGTCTCATATATACTAACTCTGTGATCTTGCAAGTCATGGCATCATAAGATCATATATTTAAAGCTAGAAGGGACCTTAGTAAACCTCTAGTCTAGCCCTGTCATTTGGCAGGTGAGGAAACTGAGTCTCAGAGAAGTAAAGTGAATTACCCCAAACACATAGGTAGTGAAGAGCAGAGACAATATTTGAACCTAGAAACTCTGATTAGGAAGCAAAATGGATAGAGTGCCAGGCCAAGAGTTATGAAGTTCAAATCCAGCCTCAGACATTTACTAGTTATGTGACCCTAGACAAGTCACTTAACTCTGCCTCAATTTCCTCATCTGTAAAATAAGCTGGAGAAGGACATGGCAAGCTACTTCAGTATCTTTGCCAAGAAAATAGGGTCACAAAAAGTTGGACACAACTGAAAAATGACTGAACAAAAAACAACTTTTGATTCCAAATTCAGTGTTGGGACACTCTAAATCCCGATTCATTTAGCTGTCACCACAGTTCTATCTCTTAATATCTCAGTGTCTCAGGTAACATAAATATTGGTATGGTTTTGAATAATTCCCTACATATATGAATTTTAAATAAACACTAAAATGATTAATTCCACCAACGGTATCCATTCAGCCCTGCTGATTCTTCTTACAAACTTTTGTAGCTCAAAGGTTCTCTCAAAGGCTATTTGAAGATTGAAAAGCCCACAGCTGAAGGTTCAAAGGTCTTATTCAAATTTCACTCCTAGTCCTGGCCACTCCAGGCTATACAGAGCTGCATGTTCTCCAACAATGTTGTAATAGGGAGAATCTTGTGCATAGCCAGAGAACAAACCAGAGAGCCAGTGTAAGGAGAACAAAAGGGGAAAATTACAATTACAATTGGGTTCAAAAAACTGGCCTCATAAGATCAAAATGGGAGAGACATGATTAGTTTGCAGTTTGGCTGAAAAGGATCCAGAGGTTTTAATGGAATGAAAGCTCAGTATGGTCAACTGTGTGATGTGGAAGCCAAGAAGGCTAACAAGATTGTGATGGCAGTGAGTGGCATAGCTTCTAGAAATGCAAAGGTAACAATTCTGCCATGCTCTGCCTTCGTTAGACCACATCTGGACCATTATATTCAATTCTAGTTAGCACGTTTTCACATTAATATTGATAAGCAGAAAACTGTCCAGAAAAAGGCAACTAATATGGACAAGGGGATTGAATTCATTTGAGTTCATGCCATATACACTTGAGTATGTGGTTGCAGGAACCTGTGATGTTCAGCCAGAAGAAAAGACTCAAGGGAGGGAGTATAATATAATTTTTTTAATATATATTTGGAAGGCTATCATAAAGAAAAAGAATTTGAACTGTTCTCTTTGGAAATAGGAAAAAACCATGTGGGAGTTTGAAAGAGGCAAAATTGACCAGAAGTAACTTCCTTTTAAAGCTATCCAAAAGTGGAATGGGCCACCTTGGGAGGTAGTGAGCTCCCCATGATTAGAGGTCTTCAAGCAGGGTCTTGGATAACCCCTTGTGAGGAATACGAAAACCCAAAAACCTTAGTACAAAGACATTTGGAACACCCTATATGTTAGAAGGGTTTGTTCTTCTTGGAGTAGATGGACATTGAGGTCTCTCCCAACTCTAAAATTCTGTAATTCAGGGATTCTGGTACATCTTTTCATTATCATTGTAGGCAGAAGGATAGATCAAGCTGTCATTCCAAGGGGTGGGAGAGGGAATAGAGATGAGCTTATTTTATATTTAACAAAAGGAAAGAGGGAAACCTTTCTGTATTGTTGGGAGGGATGAGAAGGGGTCAGGATTTCTACTGATGCCAATCACTGGAAGTAAGGCAGACCACTCTAGGATGTCTCCTTTTATTTTTTCCTTTGGAGTTTTTTTTCCCCCTGTGGTTGATGATCTAGAGTCGTTAAGCCTGTACCTTGCTTATAAATTATACATTAGCGGTGCATCAGAAAATCCAAAGCCATCAGAGAAATGAAGTAGACTATTCTGAGCCATACGGATAAAAATCAACATACATCGTAGGGCTTACCAGCACTGTTCAATAAACTTATTGATCAAATGGGGAGAAAAGCTATGTCTTCTTCCACTGATTCTGAGGCTAATCCTCTCTGCTGTGAAGCTGTTTTTTTTTTCCCTCACGCTTTTAATAAAATAAAGCCCACAAATGAAATATGGGCTATGACACTTCAAACAGAAATCAAAGTTGCAATGAATAAAGGAAGATAATTAAATGGAAAGATTCCCCCCTCCCCTTCACTCCCTGCCCAGCCACCTCTCACTTAAGGAGAGCCTATGTTATCTAAATTGCCTGAGCCACAGGTAAATGAGAGGTGATGGGGATCACTTGCAGACAGCAGCCCCTGAGACAAAGAGAGAGGGTTTTAATTAATGTAGTTGAGAGTGGGAATGAATTTTCTGCTGACTGAATGGCCTGATTTGAGAAATATAAAGCTGCTTCTTAAAGGTAAACTAAAAAGCTCTGACACCCCCAAGGCTATAGTCACAATTTCTTGTGGTTGTGGCAGCCCCCAAATAATAATGCCAAGGCATACAGCAGGAAGATAAAGACCCAATTTGGCCACCACTTTACATATCAGTGGTATTGGAAGTTCCTAAGAGGAAAACCCCAAATCCTGAAGCCACCTCTTAGCAGGTAAGTAAAAAGAATAATGGTTTCCAGCTCATCTTTTTTTTTTTTGTCATTTGAATTCATAACTTCTCAAGTTTGTCATGATATATTCTATACTCCTTGGCTCTTAACCAGTAGTTCTTTTAATCAATACATTTTAGTTCCTTCATAAAGGCAAGCAGGCAAGATGAAAGAAATTCACTAAATCTTCAAAGAAGCTATAGCAAGATATTCAAATTCAAAATTCAGTCTGCTCTAAAATTTACATGGGAGAAAAAATGTCCTTTAGTATGTAGCAACCTGCTAAAAATTATGTGTGGAGGGCAAGTCTTTCTGCTTAATAAAACCATCTTGTTTCTTGGTAATCTATTCTTTCTCTAGGTATGAAATGAGGAGAATCCTCCTTATACAGTAAGCTTCGTCTTTGCACAGGCCATGACCTACACCTGGAATGCCCTTCTTCCTTACCTGGGCCTGTTAATATCCCTGGTTTCCTTCAAGGTCCAGCTCATGTGCCACCTCCTATGGGAAACTTTTGCTCTTTCTAGTTTCTTAGGGTTCTCTTCCTCTGCAGATTATCACACACTTACTTATTGGTTGACATATTGCGTCCCCACTAGTAGAATGTAAGCCTAAGAGCAGGAAGCAGTGTTAATTTTATCTTCAGATCCCAAGAGCCTAGCACAGTGCTTTACACATAGTGGGTGCTTAATAAATGCTTGTTAGATTGGTTTGGATTGAAGTTACAGTATCCCTTCCCTACCCCATTAGCACACCCTACCCACTTAGTATAACAGAATGGGGTAGTGAGAACAAGGAAATCAACTCTTCTGCCAGTGGAACGCAAACAAGGTGCCCTGATAGCCATCTTGTTAAAGACATAAAATGGGCACAAGGATAGCCAAAGGCAAAGATCAGACCCTGAGGAAACTTTAGAGATGATCTAGTCCAACCTCATTTTCACAGATGAGATACTGAGGTCAAGAAAGTGGATTGCTTAAGGCCGTGTAGCTAGTAGGATTTGAAAACAGATCTCTCCTAATTCCAAGTCTAGCACTCTATCCATTATACCATGTTGCCTTTGATGAGACCAGGCTGAGTTTTGGTCAGCAAAGGACCATCCGATCACATTGCGACTTGAGATACCTAGGATACTCCAGGTTTTGTGCTGGGTTTCCATGGGGTGAATGGTGGTAGAAAGGGTGAAAGGAATGAATGTAGTAAAGTCAATACAAACACTGATGTTTTGTCTTTTGACAACATGTGAATGTGCAAATGTTTCAGCTACAGGAGAAAAGGGGCTAATTTTAGATTTGTTCCTAGCCCTCTCCATGTGAATGGTGTCGCTGTGAGCCCAGCAACGAAGTGCACTGTGTTGTAGCAGACTGCGCAGTTCCTGAATGTGTCAACCCAGTCTATGAACCAGAACAATGTTGTCCTGTCTGCAAAAATGGTAAGACCACCCCGCGCTAGCTTTAACAAGGGGTTAGAGAAAAGCACTGTCAATGCCTTCCCAAAACGCATGCCCATCCAGACTAGAACCTTGAGCTCCATTGACTGCTTTTTGATTTGGCTGTTTTATCTTTGATCCCACCCAAAAAGCAAAATCAGCAAAGGGTGAAATGCCTCTTTCCACTTGGGGGAGCAAAGGAGAATTGATAACTTTCCATGCTGTGGTCTCATATATCACGTTGTTGGTGGAGTTGTGGGGAAGGCTTGCACTAATACAAATAACCTACCTCTTAAGCAGGAAGATCTGTATTCCAGTCGTGGCTCTGATCCAGACTAACTGTGTGACCCTGGGCAAGTAACTTCTTCAGAGCTCTAGGCTAGGCAACTCTTCAAGTTTCTAAGTTGAAGAGAAGGTGCTGACCTCCATTGCTGGAGGAAGTTCCCTCACCAAGGAATTCCCTAGGCCAGGGAAATTACAGATGTAGCCCTTAGGTCCTGTTCCCTCCTGTGTGCTAACTGGTTGCACTTGTCTCCTTGATAGATGCCATGAGGCAAGGCTATTCACGTTCTTTCAGAGTGATCTATGATATAACACAGGACAAGGTATGACATAAAGGTTAGGGTACTTTGTTTCAGGCATTTGAAAAAGCATTAGGTCAAAAGTTAAGTCTTGAGAGAAATATTAAAATCACTTCTGCTAAAGGGCATTCATAATTAAAGGAGAATAGGAAGTGTTTCATGTTATTAAGGTCTTTATTTGAGTAAAGTGGGACTCTTCTCTGACAACTACAGAATGGAATTTGACGTATAATTTTGGATCCCATTCATAGCTATTAAAGTGGCACCACCACAACCTTCCTCCCCAACACTGTAACATAAAGCAATAATGCCTATAAGGTAGTCCCATAGAATGGACCTAGGTCAGAACTATAATAATGCATCACAGCATTAATCTAACATTATAAATGGAATTTTGGCACCTGGGGCAAATTTATTTAAGGAAAGAGGGGCCAGGTAGATTAGGGAGATACCTTATATGCTGGGATATAAGAACTCATGGGAAGAGAAAGATCTTGGCTTGCCCTCTGCATTGGGGAGATAGAGATGCTATGTAAGAAGGAGAGGTTACTGGCAGCAGAGGAAACAGAGTAGAATCTGGTTAGGGAAAGTTCACCAGCCATGCAGGAAGATCTGAGGATTCCACTTACATCAGTGCATGCTAACCTTCACCTTCATAGCCCTAGGGGGGCCAAAACCATTCATTACAGTAAGAAATGGCACTGGGAGAAAGATTCCAATGTGGTATACCCCTGAGGATGGCAGCCAAGGACCATGCAAGGAAACACAGGCAATCATCCCATGCATGACATGGGGTTGATGAGCCAAGGGCACATCCCTCCTTTCCACATACTCCATCTTAGTAACTTAAGGCAAAGTCTCCACCCTAATAATATCCGTGCATCCTTTCCCATTAGTAGCTTCTACATAAGATGCAAGAATCTGTCTTTATCTTACCCTTTGCTATCAAAAAAATTTTTTAAACAATAAAATACTGTAAACATCCTTTTTAAGATATTCATTCCTTTGGTACTAATAGGTCCCTGAGAAAGCTACTCCTTTTTTAAACATGTTGAATTCACCATAACATTACATTTGTGATGCCCAATGTCCAACATAAGGGTGCTCATCTTTCACCAGTTAACATTCTTATTTTAATTTTCAAAATTTGCATGTTTTGCATTTCAAGAGAGTGGGTCATGATAGCTCCATGATCAATCTTTTCTTTTGCAGAGCCATAATCAGTCAAAGAGGACTAAAGCTATTTAATTAGGGCTAAAACAAAAACAGCTGTGGCAGTTCCTTACAATTATTTTTTCGGCCTATTATCTTCCTAGACCACTTAGGATGGCAGTTTTAGCCAGGGGAAACTTGCTTGTTTCAGTAGTGTTCCACCTTTATTGGCAACACCATTGAATCAAGATAAAGTAGTCAGTTGAGCTGAATAATAAATTACTCACCTGGTTTTTCTCCTTTCACTAATCCAATTCACCTGTAATGTAATAGGGACCTTCTCTTTATGAGTTGGCTAGGGAAATAAATTTGTACCGGCTTATACTTTTAATCTACCCAGCATATGCTAAGATATCTAATTTGAGACTATATTTTAAGAGGAATGTGGAACAATTGGAAAGGGTCCAGAAGAGAACAAGCCATATTATTTCAGGATTGAAAAATGGGACCTATGAGGACTGGCTAGAGCAGTTAGAATAATTTTGTCTGAAGAAGTAAAGACTCAAGAGAGATTTTACTGTCTTCAAGCATATGAAGGGTTACTCTAAGGAGAAGGGGGACCTGTTATTTTTCATTACCTCTGAGGATAGAAGAAACAAATAATCAGCCACATAGGTGAGCTTTAAAAATAGAATTGATAACTATCTAACTGAAAGATAGCCTTTGCTGGAAGCAGCTGTGTGAGCAGGCCCCAAAAGAGCCTGTCCTCCCCTAGGATTCTCACAGTTAAGTTTGCCTCATTTTCAAGGATAACACACCTATCCTTCTGGGTCACAACATGAATCCAAAAAGAGTAAACATACTCAGAAAAAGAATGAGGTGCCCAAGGTCCTGTTAGAACATAATGCATTAATGCATAGATGTACATACAATGGAATCATGCCGAACATTACTCCAGACAGAAAAAGCCCAGGTCTGTTAACAAAATTAGCTCTGTTCCCCTACAATTACAAAGGGGTCACACTGCATTCCAAATCATTTGAGTTATTCCAATTTATAGTTCCATTTGTCAAAGTAGATACTTCAAGTTCAATTAAACCAACTTAGTAGATTTTTTTTTATTGCAAGGTTAGAACTGGGTTTTAGAGTTGATTTAATTAGGCATTTCTTATCCCTGACAAACTCCATCTGAATGTTGATGCATAAAGCTATGCACTATCTCAAATGGAGATTCCCCAAATTTCTTGGACAACAAATTACTTGGATAGGGCAGACAGAATCCACAGACCACCTGTGATATGTACTTCCTCTTGATACTAAAGAAAAAGAAAAGAAATTAACAGAATTTATGGGAAAACACACTGTGATACAACTTTTCTTAAACATCAGGAATAATTAATTTAGACCAGACTTTTTTAGAGGATAAAATTGTCATGTTACAAATAAGAGACCATCTCAGGAGTACTCTCATGAACCACCAATGGGTTCCAGGGTAGACATTTATTCTTGATCTGATAGATGGGGAAGAAAACAGTGCAACAGGAAGACTTAGAGAAAATGCTTCAGAAGAGATGGTGAATTGCAAAAAGCAAAAGGAATTGTGATCCTCTCATGAATGAAAATCCCAGTTTTAAGAGTTCTACCATGCCATAATGATGGTGCATGCCTACATAATCCCAGCTACCAGGGAGGCTGATGAATCTCTTAAGCCCAAGAGTTCTGTGCTGTCCTAGGCTTTGCCAATTGGGTGTCTGCCCTAAGTTCAGCATTAATATGGTAAGCCTCTGGGCTACCAGGATGCCCAAGGGTGGGGGGAGGTGTGAACCAGTCCAGGTCAGAAACAAAGCAAATCAAAGATTCTGGACTAACCAGTAGTAGGAATAGGCCTATAAGTAGCTCCAGCAATTCGCTGGGTCAAATGGGAAGACACTTACTTCAACCACACACACAAAAAGATCAGTCTTTTAACTCAGTATAAAAACAATTGATTTTAGTATTTTAGCTGGGAAACAACAATATTTGCTATATTTCCTTTAAATTTCACAGCTTATCTGTTTACATAACTGCTGATCATCTTTGCGGGCAAATAATTTCCTTTTAATATATAGAGATTGATTTTTATGACTTCCTTAATTATAACTTTCTGAGGGCCAGAGCAGTATAGATATGAAGTAAATGCATAAATCTGTCCTTTCTACCATAACAAACCTCAGGACTACTAACACATCATGCTCAATCCTCTTCCTCTGGAGTAATTTAAGAGCACACTCAATAAGGAAGCTCCAAGTTTGTCTCAGAATTGTCCAAAGAACAGTACATCACCTACGCTTTTAAAAGCTGCTGACTCCTACTATCTTTACATTGCAATATGAAGCTTAATCTACTTGTATACAGAGCAGAAGGAGGCTTATGTGAGATGAAGAATTAAGAAATTATTTCATTCACTTATCTGTGTTATGATCATCTTTAATGAAAGGCAGCATGGTGTATTGTAGTACAATGGTATCAAACTGAATTAGGAATGGATCCCAGCAGGCAGCCATCTTGACTTAGAAAATCACAACTTAACATTATCTATGTTGTATGGTATTTCTATTTATTTTGATAAACATTTCCCAATTATATTTTAATCTGGTTCTGGCTTCACTGATGGGGAAGGGGGGAGTTGCAAGTTGCTGCAAAATTTGACACTTCTTCTGTACTGGATAGATAGGCAACCTGTGAGACAGGAAGATCTGCTTCTGACACATAGTGGTATAAACATGGACAAGTCTTTTAACCTCTGTGTATTCCAGTCAACTCTTAAAGATTCTAAGTTTTGCAATGTTGATGCTGAATTGCTAGAATTTCCACACTGAGAGGCTCTTGTGATAATAGGATCACAAATCCAAATCATTCTATATACACATATTATACAAATATTTACATGTATCTTTATATTTAGTGTGTGTATATCTGTGTGTGCATATGTGTGTATATGTGTGCATGTGTGTGTGTGTGTGTTTGTAGGGAGGTAGGGAAGGGGAAAGAGAGAGACAAAGAGAGAGACACACAGAGAGAGAGAGAGAGAGAGAGAGAGAGAGAGAGAGAGAGAGAGAGAGGTCAAGTCCTCTAGCATTTCTTTCTAGGATTAGGTTAAAGAATTTAAAATTATCTGGTCATAATAAGATTGCAATCAGAAGACATTTAGTCTTTGGGACCTCTTCTTTAAATAAATTTTATTCTAAATGCTTTGCTTTACATGATCTTAAATTTGCTTATCAAAATTTG